AGAGCTTCTTTCTCTATAAAACTAAGATCAATTTTCCTTGTCCTGCCTACCTCAAGAGGATGGTTGTGAAGATTGTATTAGATAATATAAATACAAGCAATTTGTAGAACTGTAAAGTGAGGCACAAATACAGGGTATGATTGCCAATAATAGTATAGTAAGGGTCTTGATTTTAAGGGACATGACTAGTTTAGTTGCCAAATTTTTACTTATAGTCAGTTACTTCTCAGTCATTTTTTTTTAAGAGTTTAGGTACATGAACAGATAAATTTGCAACATTTGGTTATCAAAGAAACTAAAATTTGGCAGGATAGTGTTTTTCTGCAGTGTTGGGGGTTGAATCCATGGCCTTCACACTGAACTGTACTCTAACCTTTTATTTATTTTTTATTTTGAGACATGGCCATGCTAGGTCACTCAGTTTCCCCAGCTGGGCTTAGATTCATGGTCCTCTTACCGCAGGCTCCCAGAGTACTCAGCGGCATGCTGCTACCACAGCTGGCTTGTGGGCTGACCTTTAAACTGAGAAGTGACAAGAGAATGACTCCAATCATCCTTCAGGAGGCTTGTCAGAAAGAGTGGAGCTCATCTGGGAGGCAGTTTAGAGGATTCTGACAGAACATCAAAGAGTCTCCACATCAGAAGCTCCCTACGAGGTACTAAGTTTGACCTCAATTTAATGACTAAACATTCATCCTTTAAATCAGGCGGCTGTTTTCCACTCAAATATTTCCATCTCACTACTTATCTTGACTATCCATTTCATTGCTGGACTCTGCTTCCTGTTAGAATGTTCTTTCTTAGATCGAGCCATTGCAGACCCCATCAAGCTACATCTACCTCCAACAGCCTAGACTATGCCGCGTTTTCAGTTCGTGAGGCTCTGGGCCTTTCCTTACCTTCTACTTTCTCTTCTGACATCACAGTGTGACACAATGAGAGGGCGAGGAAAAACAAGTGTACCCATTTATCTCCATTTTTCACAGCTTCCACCAAAGTATTGTCATAAAATGCAAAGTTGGGACTGGCCAGTTTGTTGTAGGAGAAGTCAACTTTTTCTTTCTGGAATATATAAGGCAGAACAAAGCTTTTGCCAACAGCTGATGTTTCATAGAAGTCAACCTGGGGCCATTTCTGGAATGTAATGAGAATGTTCAGGAGGGTGAGATGGGAAAAACAACATAAATGGCAAAGATACTATTCTGGTTTCACGGACCTTGACCATCCTGGTACTTGGGCCAGAAAAATCTATGCTACAGGAGACAAGCTAAGCAGTACTTGGCAGACTCTTCTTGCCTACTTTACACCCCAGATATTCTGAGTGACCAATGGCTGTCCTCATATTCTACTCTTCTCCATCCCAAATCCTATCTCATAACCAAACCTGAGGATATGAGGTGATATCTGCTCCCCATGACTAAGTGGTACGTGAGAAAAGTCTTGTTTTTGTCTCCTGCTTGCTTTGGGGAGCTGGAAAGGGAAAAAAGCCCAGGTACAGTGGTATTACTGAGTTGTCTTTTTCCTTTCTCACTTCCCAGAGATAGAAAGGGAATATGGAGGGCTATACAAACAAGACCACATGGTAAGGAAGCCTCAGGATACGCTGTGTACAGACTTCAGTTCCGTGACCTGCAGCACACCTGATCTTTCCTCTCTCTGACTCTCACTGTCGCTGGCCTTGTTGCTTTATGATCCTATTTTGGACTCAATTTTTGGGCTTAAAATTCATTAATGATTTTCCTGGCTATAGTCTTGGCCCTTCTAGACACCGGCTTTCACTCTCCATTTCAGTGTGCTTGTAGCCATGTAAACACTGGCTGTGAGAACTTAATTCCATTCCAAAGTACAAGGAGTGATCAAAAATAGGGGTGTTTAAATTTTAAAAACTCTCACTACAGTAAAAGAGAAATTGCCAAGATTTGTGGGACAGACAGGTTTAAAAAGAGGGATGATTATTTATTTAATATCTAAAAAGAATACAAGTAAAAACAAAACATTAGAAACAATACAAAACTTCACCAAACAAATCAAGAGGGACTATTTTGAAGGGGATTAGTGGCAATGTGTCTTTTACCATAACAATTTTTTTAAAAAGGTAATCATTCACTGTATTTTTTGATCAACAATTTACTACAATTCTGTCAAATAAAAACATTACAATGTATCTTCATCCTCTTATTCACCAGATCTGCAATTGTGCAAATTATGGGTCCTCTCCAAAGTCAGGATGAACATGGAAGTCACACATTTGAGGTAATTCAGAATGTGGAGACAGCCATGACAATTCAGTGAAGACTCATAACTGCTTCAGAAAGTGACAAGAGTGATGGGGTGTGTTTGAAACGAAGGGGGGTATGTTTTCAGGGGGAATCAATGACAATGTGCCTTTTACTATAGTAATCTTTTTGAAATATAAATATTTACTGTATTTTTTTAATCAAAGCTCATATGTCGTTATTCACATATTTCTCTAGCTCACATCAGAACTCTCAAGGATGTTTCTCCAGGTGTTTTGCTTTGTTTTTAGTGTTTTGTTTCTGGTGAAGGATAGAACCTACAACTTCTTCACATATGCCAGGTAAGTGCTTTACCAATGAACTACATCCTCAATCCTTTTTCTATGTTTTGAGGCAGGATTTTGCTAAGTTTCCCAGTCTGGTCTTTAACTTACAATCCTCTTCCCTGAGCCTCCTGAGTGGATAGAACCACAAATATGCTTCACCACATCCAGTGCTTCAGCTCTTCGTAGCTGTGCTGCTACCTGGCCTGGGGCCCGATACAGATACAATTTTTGCCTGTACTACGGTAGGGAAAAGGAAATTCTGTAGTGAGCTCTACTGGTCTGGTCTTTTCCTTTCTGCTCTTTTCTTTTTCTTTTGGGATACAGAGCTTAAACTTAGGTTTTCACATTTATATTCAGCCCTTTTTATGGTTTTTGAGATAGGGTCTGGCTAAGTTGTTGAATTACCCTGGCTGGGCTTGAACTTGCAATCCTTCTACCTCAGCCTCCCCAAGTGCTGGGGCTATAGATTGATGTGTGCCACTGACACTCAGACTGGTTTTCTTCTGTCTCTCACCTGGAGGAAGTTTTGTCAGAGGAAGTATGGTGAGGTTCACAGCCAAACACTAGACCTGACCAACTATAGAAGTTTGAGCTCTGTGGTTCATGGGTTCAGTAGTATAAGACAACCCATATACAGTGTCTTAGTTACTTTTCTTATCGCTGAGACAAAATACCTGATACCCAAAGTTAAGAAGGACAGGTTTATTTGGCTCACAGGTTATAGAGGTTTCAGTTTACAGTTGGCTGGCTCCAAGGCAGCTTGGCATGGCACAGGGTATTGCAGAGGATAAACAGTTTATGACAGTCAGAAGATGCAAAAGCAAAAAACCAGAGCAGCTTCTTTCTGTCCCTTTTATAATCTATGTAGGCTACCCCATTTAGGGCGGATGCCAAACCAATCAGCGGACTAATTTAGAAATCACACACTCTTAATCCAGTGCCATTAGTCCTAGCATTGTGTACTCAATCACACACTTAAGATAAAGCAACCTCAGAAAAATATCCATCTATGGCTGCTTGTGTTTAGATCCCCCACACCTATGGCTGGAGTCGAGGGAGGATCTAAATACAAGCTGTAACACAGAGCCCCCTTGGAGGCTTTTCTAGAATTAGACACACATTCTTTAGAACCAGAGGCTAGTGAGGGATGAGAGATAAGGCTGGAGGAGAAGGCAAGAGCCAGATCCTGCATTATCATCTTGTTGTTGTAACACATGGTGTCATAACAAATTTCCCCTGGAAGTGACACAGTCAGATTTGGATAAGAAAGAGTCCTTTGTTGTCTGTGTGGAGAATACATTGGAACTAGCAAAATAAGAAGTGGGAAGAACAGTTAGAAGTCTATTTAGTGATTCAGGAAAAAAATGAAATAGTAACTATAAAGATTAAGAGGGAAGATTTGGAAATTGGGGGCTAGAATTGATAGGACCAGTATTGGAGGAGTGAAAGGAGAAAAGTTAATATTTTATAGGGCAGACAATACAGCTCAGGGTAGAGTACTTGCTTAGTATGTGGGAGGCCCTGGGTTCCATCCCCAGCAGCACAAACAAAAAATTCTATTTCTAATTTGAAGCAATAAGTACTTCTGGCCTTCATTTTTTTTTTTTTTTAGTGCAGGGTCTACAGGGTCTATCTACATAAATTGGACTCATAGTGATTCTCCTATTTTTACCCTCCCAAGTGCTGGGATTACAGGCAGGCCAGGGATCAAACAAACCCCCAACCCCTGTGTGTGCCTAAGCAGGTGCTTTAATCCACTGAGTCATCTGACTTGGCCCCTGGCCTTCATTCTGAAACCACTTCTTCTCATTTTACATCCCCTATTTCCATCCTTTTGTCTCATACCTGGATTTGCTCTTGAGGCTTATTGACCTCTTACAGTGTTAAGCAATATGGCTTGTGTTTACATGTCTCTTAAAGCCTCATACAGTCAGTCATAGGTGGGACTTTTTCAGAGGTGGCTGGGATTAAGTGTGTGAGATTACAGGGCCAGCCAGATAGTTCAGTATACTAAAGCACCTGCTTAGGCAAGTGCAGTGGCCAGTGTTCAATCCCCATCATGCTGTGTGGCCCCACCCCCTGGGGCACACTGAGCAGAGACTGGGCGTGGTAGCGTGCACCTATGATCCCAGTGCTTGGGAGGCTGAAAACAGGAGGATCACTATGAGTCTGATCTGTGTAGTGAGACCCTGTACACCCTGTACCAAATACATTTTTTTTAAAAAAAAGAGTGTGAGATTACTAAATTAGTCTACTGATGGCTTGGCACCCACCCTAATTCCAGCAGCCTAGATACAATATAAAAGGGGAAGAAAGATGCTATTAAGGTTCCTTGTTGTTTTGTTACGTTCTGCCCTCCATGGAGCCAGCCTATTATGGACTAAAACTTGTACAAACTGTGAGCTAAGTATTTCGCCTTTAATTTTGGTTGTTGGGAATTTTGTGTAAGCAATAAGAAAAGTAACTAAGACAGTCTATCCTACAGTTTTCTTAGCAAAATCATGTAGTGCTCTGCAGGGCCTTGTGCATATGAGGCCAGAGCTCTAGACTCAATAGGTCCTGCTTTCACCCAGCTCAATTTTCTGATTTTGAGACCAATAAAAGCTTTGATATTGCAGAGGCTAGAGTCCCAACTGTGGTAAAGATGCTTTTCCGTAGCACAGCCTCATTCAGCCCCCACATGTGTTTTTGAGGAAGCTGTACTCACTCACCTTACAGTCTGTCACCTTAGATCCAACCTTGTCAGAGGAATTGCCTATTGGTCAGTAAAACAGAGCAGATAGTTAATAAGAGGCTTAAAGGAGGGTTTTCCTCCCCACCCAGTGGTACTGGGGATTGAACCCCAGACCTTGGTTCCGAGTTATATCCCCAACTATTTTTTATTTTTAAATTTTGAGAGAGGGTCTCACTAAGTTATTAATATCCAATCTGGGCTCAAATTTTCAGTATTCCTGCCTCTGCCTTCCAGAGTGCTGGGATTACTTGTGTGTGTCACCATGCCCAGCTAATTTTGTTTTATTGTGGTAAAAAAAGAAGAAAAATATGTAGCACAAAATCTACTATTTTGGCCATGTTAGGTATAACATTCAGTGATATTAATTATATTCACAATGTTTGTGACTATCACTGCTATGTAGTTTCAACACTTCTTAGGTGTTCCAAATGGAAACTCCTCATTCTTCTTTATTCCTATTCCCTTAGAAATCTCTACTCTGCTTTATCTTTATGAGTTCTCCCATTCTAGGTATGTCAAATAATTGGAACAAGGCAATATTTGTCTTATTGTGTCTGATTATTCACTTAACAATGTTTTCAGGATTCATTCACATTGTAGGGGCCAGGGAGATGGCTCAGTAGAATAAGCGCTTCCCTGGCAAGTGCAAGGGCCTGAGTTCAATCCCTGGTTCCGCAAAAAAACAAAAACAAAACAAAACATCCACACTGTAGCATGTATCAAAACTTTATTTCTTTTCATAGCTGAATCATACTCCAATGTATTTAGATACCACATTTAAAAAATCCATTCATCTGTGAGTGGACATATGGGTTATTTCCAACCTTTGGGCTACTGTAAATAATGCTACAGTAAGTATTTACATGCATCTGTTTGAATTCTTATTTCAATTTTGGGAAGACGCCTAAAAATGAAATTGCTATGTCATATGGCAATTTAAAGGAGGGTTTTTAAAGCTTATTTGTTCTGATTCTCTACCCTAGACTTGTAGTCAAGTTGCCTCAAATCCTCCAGACCATTTCACCTTTAGTGCCTGAGTAAGCTGCTTTCCATAAGCCAGTGACAAGAAGAGGTCATCTGCTTGAACCCCTGCTCTTCTCTTAAGTAAGACTACAGGGGGAAATCCTAGAGATCAGTCACTGGATCTACGAGAAACTCCCCAGCCCAGCAAGGTCCATAGTCAGAAAACTTACCTAGGCTATATATGAAACTAGTCTAGAGTATTTAGGGTTCTTGGCCAGTACATGGGATAAACAGAATGGGGGCGGAAGATAGATCTGATTCCAAGCACAAAAACAACCCTTCCAATCCTTTAACTAGTACATGATCAAGTCTTACAGTGAGTCAGAGAATTACAATCCCTATCCAAATCAATTCACCTAAAAGTAACCCATTACAGTTTATACATACAAAAACTTGTTTGGCAAGAATAATAGGGCATATTAGGGTGCTTTAGTCTTGGTTTTCAAATTTAAAGGGTTTCACTTTTAAAATTTAGGTGAAATTAACATAATATATGATTGTTTTGTTTTTGTTTTTTGGGTCAGGTCTCACTATAGAGTTGAGGGTAGCCTTGAACTGAGTAGCAGTGGCTTTGAACTGAAAACCTTTCTGAGGATTAGAGGTATGCCCACCCTATTAGGTATTTATTTATTTTGTGCTAGTGGGGTTTGACCCCAGGGCCTCTGCATTGAGCTACATCCTCGGCTGATTTTTTAGGGTTTTTTTTTTTGGGGGGGGGTGGGTACCAAGAGTCAAACTCAGGGCCTCAGGGTTACCACGCAGGTGCTGCATCACTGAGCTGAATCCCTGGCCCTCAATTCATTTTTAAATTTTGAGACAAGTTCTCACTAATTTGCTAAATTTCCTGAGCCAGTCAGGGCTCGAATTTGCAATCTGGACTCCGCCTTCCAGACTGACAGCATTATAGTTGTGTACTACAACACTTGGCTTAATCAACTATTTTAAAGTATACAGCTTAGGGACATATAGTACATTTGCAATACTGTCTAACTATACTCTCTCCCTGCTTTCAAAACTTGCCATCGCCCTGAATAATATCTCCTTCACTCTAATTAAATAAATGCTTTTTAGTTAGAAATCAGTGGGTCTTTCCTTAGCAAATAAAAAGAATTGTGGGCAAATGTGAATTTTAGAAGTTTATAGATTTAGAACTAATTTATTGTTTTTTTTCTTGAGATATGATCTTTCTATGTAGTCCAGGTTGCCCTGGAGCTCGAAATCCTTCTGCTTCAGCCACCTGAGCACTGGGATTGTAGGCATCTGTCACCCTGCCTCGTCTAAGAGTTAGTTTACTCTAGAAAACAATCCATAAAATGGTATTCTCCAGGGCTCAGGAAGGTAGGGAAACATACCATAGAGTTTTCTATAGATAGAACACTTGTTGAAGATCATGATGTTTTGAGTCAGGGTCCCTGTTTTGTCAGAGAACACATATTTGACCTGGCCAAGCTCTTCATTAAGGGTGGTAGTGTGAGCCTGTGCCTGGGTGTTCCTTGGTGCATAAAACATCTTCTGATCCCAGTTGATATAAAAACTATTGCCCAGTCTTATTATTTCAACGCTAAGGAGAAAAGAAAAGAAAGATCCTAGTCAGAGCAGAGAAAACAAAACGAAATGAAATGAAATGCAACCCAACCCAACCCAACTACAACACAACACAAAACAGCACAGCACAGCACAACACAACAAAACATTAGGTTGGTTTCCTTCTTATAGGTCCAACTCTTATAGGTAACTCTGGGGTAGCATCAGAAAATTGGAGTATCTTTCCTGAGAACCTACCTTTTGGAAGGACCTTTCCAATCAGCCAGCTGATCATAATTCTGACCATGGACACTACCATGAAAGGCTTTACCAACTTTTTCCAGATTGTCTTGATTAGCTTATCTGAGTCATAATCTCTTTCACTCTTTCCCCTTCCAAAATGTGTCCAGGAAAAGTCACAATTTTTTAAATTCTTTTTTTTTTCCCCCAGTGTGTTCCTCTTTATTCATTTTCAGAGTACAAACTTAAACTTGGATAAGCTGAATTAACCCAACCCACCTCTGGCAGGTACATTCAACATGCTGTATAAAGTGTAACATTCAATTTTATTATTTCTTTCTCAAGAGTTTTCTTCAGTCCATTAAGCCCCAGCTCCCCTTACATGGGCTTTGGTGGAGGTCGTGGGGCAGCACCAGCAGGTCTAAATCGGGGTGGAGGAGTTCGGTCCTTACGGGCTTCACGAGATCGATTTCTGACCACTTTGCTGTGAATGGCACAACTCACACAATAATGCAGCTTCACATACAGCTTGGGAAGCACATAACCGTCGAAGACACTCGCTTCGGAAATGTCCCTGACGGCGGCGGCCTCCACTATGTTCCGAATGACAAACTTCTTAATAGCCTTATCCTTGGGTACGCACTGGGCGCAGTTCGTGCAGCGAATAGGCTGCACATGACCGCGGCCCTTTTTGGCACGACCGTTGTTCCTTCTTTTTTTCGTCATCTTGGAAAAAAGGACCCGAAAGAGCTAAATTCTTGAAAAATAGTAAACTTATAAAAGGAAACACTGGCCTAATTAAAGGATTATTACAGGACCTCTGTAATGTTGGGGAAGACAGAGAAACTTGTCAGATTTAAGAGTTTGTCTCAGAAGAAGGAAAAATCTATGAAAGTTGGAAGTGGTTTGTGAGGTGACCCTCTGATAAATTTTCAGACAAGGCACCCCACCTGTGATGAATAAGCCTTTTTTAAATATAAATTTGTCTATGCCTTTGCTATTATCTTTGTCTGCTGGAAGTAACATGTATTATTTTCCATTTTAAAACAGTAAAGAGTTTTTTCGGGGGTACCAGGAATCAAACTCAGGATCTTGCAGTTGCTAAGCAGACGGTGTGCCACTGAGCTATATCCCTGGCCTCTGAAACAATAAAGACTTTTAAGGAACCTCCTTCCTGTCATCATTCATACTTAATGTGTGTTAAACTGTTTTATTCATAATCCCTGCCTGAGACAGCAGCACTGAGGGGCTTGGAATTTTTTTCTCTGAGCTGAGGGAAGAGGAGCTCAGGCCTCTACTGAAGACCCTGTCTTGGAGTTTGACCTCTCTTCCCAGCCTTACCACGCCAGCTGCCATCATACACTCTAAACCTGAACATCTAATCATAATCTTTTTTCCTAAAAAAAATAAATCTAGGCTGGCTTTTTCTGGCTTTTAGGATAAAATCCTACTCTTTGGCCTGGATTTAAAGAAAGATCTGAATCTGAACCCAAATTAGCATCCAATTCCTTATCCTACCTAACTTTTTAAAAAACCTCCACATCTCTGTATATTTGTGTTTGCAATGTTCTCGCCCTATTCTTTTTCTCAATATCACTTCGATTACTACCTTCAGGCAAAGCTTCCTAAACTTCTCCAGGCAGGACTAATCTATGCTTGCTCAAGGCTCTTCTAGCACTCATCATTTCAATTACATCACTTTTAATACTGCACCACAGTTACTGATGTACCTGTTTCCACAGCTAGATTGCAATCTTCTGTACAGAAAAGGATGTTTTATTACTCATGCTTGCTTGACACATAGTAGGTACTCAATAGCTATTTATTAAATAATATAACTTAGTTATAGAGGGTGCTTTCTGGGAAAGGATGTCATAGTGCATACTTCAGGAGACCTGGAAGGAGGAAACTAAAACACACCTGGATCTGTGTATGTGCCAGGGATGCTTTACCAAGAAAAGGAGGGCAAGAAAAGATTCACTTCACCCCATTCAAATTTTTGTCCAAGGTGCTTATGAAAGAGGGGAGATATACCCTTCTTCTCCTCCAACTTTTATGAACTGAAGTCAAAATCACACCTATCTGTTTGGCAACTTGTTTCTGTGAGAAACACATTCTGAGTTCTGACTAACTGAATTATGAATGAATTCATGGAGTTTATCTCCATGGCATGACCTCCTGTCTAGTACCTGTCTAGTACCAGAGTACCTGTCTAGTCTGGTGTTAGCATTACCCAATTTTTCTAATTGTTTTATATTTTTCTATGTTTTATTTAGTCACTTACAGGTTATTTAAGGGAAGGTATAATTTTCTTTTTGTATAAACTACATGGTACCTAGCACAGTATTCTGGAATGGAAGGAATTTATATAATTTTTTTTTCATTTTATGTATTTGATACAGGGTGTCACTACATAGCTTGGACTCATAGTGATCTTCCTGTTTTCAGCCTCCCCAGTGGTGGGATTACAGGTGTGTACCACCAGGCCTAGACTCCATTGCACCCTGGGGGCAGGGCCAGTGCAGCATGTAGGACTCGGGATCAAACCCTGGTCCCTGGGTTTACCAAAGCAGGCACTTAGTCTGCTGAGCTATCTTGCCAGCCTGCAATCTTTAGATATTTCTGAGTCTGTTTTGCATACCAAGCCTATAGAAGTAAAGAATTAAATAACACGTAGCATAAGGTTTTTTAAAGTTTATACTCCAGTTGAGAAATTAAGCAGGAAGTATGAAGTCCACCCTCCCCCTAACCTAATATAATTTAAAAAAAGCCTACCTGATGTAGAGGGAAATGGGCACCATGGTGTTGAGAATAATGAAGTAGGACCAGTAAATGAGTGCGGCAGATGCAACTGATGAAGAGACATAATTATCCCATGGCATAAAAGCCTGGAAGTAGTAGCCTATCTTGCTTTGCCAAATGCCATGGCCAATTGCCATGATAAAACACATGATGATTAAAAGCAGGAAAATCTATATAAAATAAAATAAAGCACAAATAAATTAAATGAACATTTTATCCAAGGTGTATGTTGCTTCAGTTTTACCTTCCAGAGTTCAACAAGAAGTCTGTCTGTCCTTGGAGGACAGGAATGTCATATTCTGTAGTTTACAGGCTCTGGACATAAGACACGGGACAGGAAAGAAAGTTCAATAGGAGCTATCCTTGGGGCTTTGAGGAGAGATAATAGAAACTAAAATGTACTAAGTACTAATTAAGTGCTAGGAACTGCCAATTATATTTATTTATTTATTTGTTTGTTTGTTTATTTATTTATTTTG